GCATATGAACTTTGTTTTATACAAATCGAACAATAAATAATTAATCTAGGACTGAAAAACTGAATTAGCCAATGGGGGCCAAGGAAAATTACCGAGACAAAAAATTTTCACATTTTTGCCCAAGTCAGAGGACTCGTTATATTTGTGTAAAACACGATTAAAAAATATTCATAAATAAAAAAGTTTTTTGTAAAAATTTAAATTTTCTAAATTTAGCGCCTAATATCTGCGAAGATTTGCCGAAAATCAAAAATCAAAAGTAGCGTAGCTATGTGCCCCGTCTCCGGCTATGCCAAAATGCATCGAAAGTTAAAATCCAATGATTATTGTTAAAATTACTGCAATATTTCTAAAAACGATAGCTTCGGTGATTTCGGACATTTCGCATTGTCGCAGAACGTTCAAAATAGCTTTATCCTCTAAGTCACACCCACTTTTCCGATAAAACCGAAGAAATCGTAACGATCCGACAATCAGTTGCTGAGATCTACTCAAAACAAAAGAAGAATAATAATAATAAGAATAATAATTTTAACAAAAACAATAGTGTTTCACACAAGCTACGCAGTGTGAAACCCTAAAAAACAAGAAAAAAAACCACACACAACCCCCCCCCCCCCAGGTTTGCTGGTGTTAAATGAAACCAGTACATTGAGGTAGGGTACATTTTCAATAAAATTCTTGCAGTTACTTGTGAGCATAACCCAAATGAATGAGCAAGGAGACTTCTACATGCATTCTCCTAATGTACATGTACATGTATATTATATAGATAATCACAGTGTGCACTGTACAACCATCACAGTGTAATTTGATTGGTGATGAGAGAGAGAGCGAGAGAGAGAGAGAGAAAAAACAAAAAAAAAAAAACCACAAAAAAAACCTAATGTTGTTCAGCACTTAAGTTAATGTATGAATGTTTATCACAGATTGATGGCACACACTGTGCCACAAGCACAATATACATGTAATAATTTACTGTTCCACAAACACTAGTAGAGACAGTGAAAGTGTTGACTAGATGCACATCACCAGTAACAGGTCAAACTGGGTACAAAGGTCACTATCACAGCAATAAAACACACATGGCTTCAGTTCAATAGCTGAATACGAATTACATTGACATTTTAGCCATACACTATATCACAAACACAATGCACACAATTTACTGCACTGTAGCACTATTTTTCTATGCACATGTAAAACAGGCACTGCAGAGAGTAAAGGAATAATATGTACACACAGGTAATATATGTATACCATGATTGGGTACACAAATCACTGTCACAAAATATAGCACACATAACTTTGGTCAATAAGAATAACATAAACATCACATAGACATTTTTCTAAGCACACACACATGTACATGTGTATATCATCTCATCATAGGTGGAATTGCTGGATGTCTGTATGGTAGCATAGGAAAGCTTGGTGGGGGCGGAAATCTTATATCTGGAAAAATAGGTCCAAAGGGACCCAGGCTCTTTAAATTTGCGGTTTGTGGACCCAAGTTGGATATAGCAAAGTTACTGTGGTAAGTGGGCGATTGTGGCTGTTTAGATCTGCGTACATGTACTTTAGGTGCTAGTGGAATATTTAGGGCCCCCTTTATTATGATTGCTAATGGTGCAGTGCCTACAAAGTCAATGTGGGTTTCATCTTTATGAAACAATGATACATTCACCTTGCCTTCCTTGTTAAAGAAAACATCATTGGTTCGTATGTAAGTACAATTGTGTTCTAGACATACCTCTTTCAGAACTTTGTTCATATTTGCAAGATTGTCATTGAATGTATCACTGACTCTGGGCAATAGTTGCAGAAATTTAATTGATGCATTGGGAAATTTCTCTTTAACTGTTGTGATAAGATTTTCATATTGTTCTCTACATCGATCATAGTTACATCTACTGGAGACATTATTAGATCCAACTAGCATTACTACATTTTCAACTAAGTTGTTAGGTGGGAGTGGATACTTTCTTATGTAATTATCCAAGTCATGAATTTTAGCTCCCCGTAATGTCCTTACAGAAGTATTCCAGTTAAAATCAAGTCTTGAGGGTTTTATATATTTGAGAATTGATGATCCCAAAACTATGTTTTTTTTAATTTCAATTGGTCTTACAGTCTCAAACTTGGAATGTAGAGGTACATTTTCACTGCTTGGTCTAGCATTATTATGGGTACTTTGATTTAGTTTACCAGTACCAGAATGTTGTGGAGATTGTTGCATGTTCTGATTTACAGAACCCAGGTTTATGTTGTATAGATTGCTATTACTTGGCTGTGGTAGGTGATGGTTTTTCTGCAACTCTGAGTTGTTAACAGGAAGTCTATTATTATCTAAGTAGTTTTTTTCCACCTGAACTGTCTTTGATTTGTAGTTTTGCGTTTTCAACTTTGAGCTTTTCATTGTCATCATGAAGATTCTGATTTAGTTCATTTAGACTGTCAATTTGTATTGTTAGTTTGTTAACCGCAATCACAAATGTATTATTTTCTTCGCTTATTATTGATATTTGTTCTAAGGCTTGGAATTTCTCATTTGCCATGGCTGTTAGCGCAACCTTGTCTAGGTGCATTGTTTCGTTTTGCTTACGGATAGTCTCATTCTGTTTCAGAATAGTGGCCTCCAAGTTTTTTATGGTGAGATGCAAGTTTGTTACTTCAAGGCCATTTGAGTTACTAGTGCTGCTCACCGTTTTGGTTGTTTTACTTGAAGATTGCCATCGAGGCCTAATTTTGGAGGAGATAGTTCTTGAGTTTGACATGGAAAGAGCAAGTCGTCTCCCTTTAGTGGTATCGGGTCGATTTTGGCAGATAATTTTTGGGGTTGTTTCGCCATGGTTCGCCACACTTTTTGGAGAGATTTCGTCCACGTTTATTGAGGAGGCTGGAATTGGAGTTGTTTCGTCATCGTTATTGATTATTGCACTTTTTGGAGACGTTTCATCCAAGTTTATTAGGTGTGTAGGAGTCAGAGTTGCTTCTTCACTTTTTGAAGGGGTTTCGTCAAAGTTTATTGTTGTCATAACAGCCTGGGATTCCGTGTCTCTACTGATATGCCTCTTTTTTGAACAAACCTCAACTGTAGATGGCGGTGATACTAAGTATAAGTTACGAGTTTTGGTAGTAGTACTTACACATGTATTTGCATCCAGACTTAACTGTACTGGGGTCGAACTTTGAGAGGTACATGTATCTAGATCATGTGAGTTGGACAGGGTTTCTTTTACCGCCCTGTTTATGCTCGGTGCCCGTTTATCATTTATCATGCATAACAAGTCTGGGAGATGCTCATTGACAAAGATTTCTTCATGAGACCCATTGATGAGGGCACTGCATTTAGTGTGATACATATTTAGAGTATATCTAAAACTGCATTTCGGCTTATTGGACCAAATTCGAATTGTGGAGTACTCACTTACTTTGTTCCTGTCTTTCATTTCAGACACACTCATATCTAATATACCCTGCTTCTTCATGCTTTTGTAGAACCGGTGCTTAAATACAGACGCAGTCCACCGCCCGTCTGTTTAAAACTGTAGTCTTGTCTGTAAGTCGCATCCAGTTGTTGTCGTAGACACTTCTTAATATTTATTTCATGGTCTAGATGTCTAAATCCATAGCGACTGTTTGATTCGTTTGTTTCTGTTTGTTTTGATATTTCCTTACGAGAGCAGTTATTTAGTTCATTTGAATCAATTCGTACCGGTACTACTACTGGAGTGGAAGTCGGCGCCATTTTAGTTGTTTGCCACTGGAGTTTCTGTACCGTGTTATTCACACTTCAAATCGAGTTATTTTCAAATTAAAAGTTCATTAAGTCGATATTTACATGACCACTGGGCGTCAAGACGTACTTACATGTTAAATTTTTATCCAAAGTTACATTATCTATAGGTCTTTTTGGTAAATAATTTACAGACTCATTTTTTCCGCCCGCTCAGATCGGCGCATGCGTGGTACATGTAGATACACACTTTAGCCGTGATAATTCTTATCTAGGGCTGCAATTGATACACTATTTGAGGCTTTGAGCAAGTAAAATTGGATTCAATTGGAAAATTTACAACACATATCTTCACATTTTGCATGGAAATAAGTAATTATGTTACAAATAGTGAAGAGTGGAACACTGAAATTAGTGAAATCATAATCTTATGTTACCGAAATGTTCCCGGGTGACGTGAAACCCCATGATTCTGGTTCGGCAGCCATTTTAAACTGAACAGAAATTTCGCATAGCAGTTGGGTTTAATCAAATCATACTGTATAGTTAAGGTTTGACCTTTATTTCAGTGGGAATGCGTTTATTAAAGGGTTAGGGTTGGGTACAGTTTGGGGTCAGTGTTATTGGAAATTAAGGGAGTGGAACCATTTCTAATCTACAAGTAACAGTTATTGGCGTTTCTTCCTAGTAATTAGTGTTTTAGTGAGACTATGAGCATATCTACACTTCAACTGGTATTAGCGTCTATTTGCTTGTTAGTGTTTTAGTGGGACTATATATGAGCATATCTGCACTTGAACTGGCATTGGCGTTTATTCGCTTGTTAGTGTTTTAATGTCACTATGATCTAAACTAAGAAGTGCGTTACTTGTGAATGTGCTATTGTGTATATATTGAATATTTGTTGTATATCAATACTGGCCTATAATACCTTACAGCCGGCGCATATCTATTTATAGGCATATACACAATTAAATCACATGATATCTATGTAACATCAAACACAATTCACAACAGCCATAGATAAAATAAAATAATATTATGGGTTACTGCTGTGGGCGCACGTCGTATAAGACAAAGACAAACCCAGCTCATGTTGATGATAATCATTGTTAATCGTATAGCTATAGTTATCACATTACACAAGCGGTGACTATAAAATATAATCAGAATTATTGGTAAGTGTGAATGTAGGTTGAGTTCAAGCTAGCTTGATATATTGACAAAATAACTAATATGTTTTTTTATTTTTTATTAATAGGCAACATAACAATTAGATAACGACCACATCGGCCAGCCATCAAAGCTAGCCTACTGTAGATACGGTGAACATCAGAGTTAACTGGGGTAAGGTATAGTAAACCGACAGTAGATACACTTAAAGGACAATATTGGTGCCTGATCTCTGTGTCAAAATTATATTTGGAATGTGTTTATCAGAGTTAACACTCGGCAAACCCCAGCAGATTCCAGTACCCTACATCTAGCCTCGGCTGTATGACGAAGTCCCCCATTGGAACTACTTTCAAGTTCCTGGATTACCGACGGCGTTATCTGTGACGCCTTTGAAGAATGTTTTATCATACAAATATTTCAAAGGTTGAAGCTGTTTTTCTTTCAAGTTTATCCGATTTTCTTCAAACAAGTACAAATTTGCACCGAAAATTCTACACACGCTTCCCACAACGCAATTTTGATAACTTCTTTTTAAAAGTGGCAAGTTTTCCTAATAAGTAAAGCGGTGCCGCATTGCAGTTGTATAGGCGTAGGTACATATCACTTACCGTCATACAGTCGAGGCTAGATGTAGAGTAACTGAATCTGCCGAGGTTTGCCGAGTGCAGAGTTAACTGGGGTAAGGTATAGTTAACCTATTATCGATACAGTGACCATCAGGGTTAACGGGGTAAGGGGTTAATTGTTCGTCTATTGATTGTAGATATAGCACATCAAGATTGCCTGGTTAAGATACATGTATAAGTGTTAAAAACAATTATGATGAATATATTCTAAACGGCACGACTAATTCAGGTATATTTAGAAAATAACCTACATCAGCAATTAGAAATAAATTTTTGATTAATCGGTTTTCACGTGGACGTAGTATGCCCAGGGGCATAAATGTGGCCAGGAAAAAAAAATAGTCTGTCGCAAAAGGAGTGCTCACTGTACACGTCACGAGTATGTTTGTCTAAGAACAAAATTTCCCCCAGGTAGATAAAATAGTCGGTCTCAAAATAAGTGCAGTCACTGCAGTCGGTCTCAAAATTATGCATCGCCGTCTTAATGAATTAATGAGGTAAACAAATAATGCCAGAATAGATCCCAAATAGTTATGTTAGTAGTACCACTGGCACTGGTGTGTGGGTCGTGGGGCGTCAGGCTATACAAAAGTTCTGTCAACTGTTGCAAAACAGGCGGAATTGACAGGATCAGATCTCGAGATTTTGTCCAATTGACTCACATTTCTGGTCCTCTCGTCCACAAGAATTTCTCCAAGCAATGACCTCAAATGCCTAGATATTAACTCAATATTTAAAAATTTTCTCAGGTTGCTCAGTGTTATAGGCACAATCATATATGACATAAACTTTATGTCAACTTAAATAAAACTGCTTCCCAACGAGACGACGATCGGCAAACAACTATATAATTATACAATACCACCTATGTTCTACCGGGACGCTTAATGTTATAGCCAGTATTTTGTTGACATTCATTGTGGGGTGGAATTGTGGCTGGGGTGGCGCCCTAGATTTGGACCCCCCCCACCCCTATCTAGATCCGCTACTGCACATGGCCCCTACAAAACTAGCACCAGTGGTGCTCGGCTCCTGACTGCGTCACTCTTACTAGGGGTATGGGCATCAGTCTGTCGCATTTTGGCTAACCCCCCCCCCCCCCCAAACAAAATCGTTATGTACACCCCTGAGTATGCCGTCGATCATGAACGAAAATCACCTTGTTACACTCTGGGGCACTTGGCAAACCTCGGCAGATTCCGGTATCCTGTATCTAGCCTCGGCTGTGTGACGGTAAGTGGTATATACCTACGCCTATACAATTGCGATGCGGCACCGGTTTACTTATTAGGAAAACTTGCCGCTTTTAGAAAGAAGTTCTCATAATTGTGTCGATCGAAGAGTGTGTAGAATTTGCAGTTCAAACTTGTCATTGTTAAAAGAAAACCGGATAAACTTAAAAGAAAAATAGTTTCAGTCTTTGAAATCTTTGTATGATAAAACATTCTTCAAAGGCGTCGTCATGGTAACGCCGTTGGTAATCCGGGAACTTGAAAGTAGTTCCTCATACAGCCGAGGCTAGATGTAGGGCACCTGAATCTGCTGAGGTTTGCCGAATGCATTCTGGGGGTCACGATGTATATACATCCACACGGAAATGTGCTCGTATATTGTTATCGCATCCGCCCGGCATCCAACATGCTTGTGAACACTCTACAAACTACAATTATTATCTGATCATTTTTAAATTTATATATGTTGTTATATTAGAATCCTGTTGAATCTCATCAATTTCAGTAAATCATTACTTATAGAGTTATGGTCCTTGTTTCACGTTTTGAACCATGTGAACTTTCTAACGACAAAGGTTATCATTCGATAAATACACAAAATTATTGGATGAGTTCGATTTTGTTTGTAAATCTGACCGGGAGCCACGGTGGCTAGGTGGGTAAGGCGGTGGCTCGCTAGCCTGGAGGTCGGGTGTTCGATCCCTGCATTGGCCGAGAAAGTTCATCCCGATTTTCCGACGTGGTTTCCCCTTGTCAGTGATGCAGGACAGAGGGCCTGACAAGGACAGCTGTCTAGTCCTTCGGATGAGACGAAAAACCGAGGCCCCGTGTAAACATTGGAATCCCTTGGCAGTTGGAATTCGATATAAGAGTAGGCGATAGTGCCGCTGCCCGGGCAAAATTTCCCTCATAGCACACTGTATGGTGTATGCCCGTCTTCATTAGCCCAGTATAGGAGCAGAACAGTAGGACGTTAAACACCATTTCATTTCATTTCATTTGTAAATTTGACTAAATTCCTGTTAAAATTGTCCTTTCTGCAAATATACAAAGGTTGCTGACCCTCTTGCAAATAGTGGCAAAGCATATCTTACAACGGCGGCCATGACGTCGTGCGAACGGCACAACATGGACTGCCAAGATGTTGTCCCGGTAGTACTGGCCTGTAACACGCCCTGCAACAACATGTAAAGCCGTTCTTCCAGCAACAGTGATGCCTCCCCACACCATAACAGAACCACCCCCAAATCGATCATGTCTGATGACGTTAACGTCTTGGAAGCGCTCGTTTCGACGACGCCACACCCTCCTACGTCTGTCCAAAAAATCAACAGTGAACCTTGACTCATCTGAAAACATCACATTGCTCCAGCGTCGATTATCCCAGTGTTGACGATCCCTACACCAACGACGTCTTGCCTGAATGTGATGATCTCTCAAACAAGGGATCACGCGAGGACGTCGGGCGCGAAGGTGACCCCGATGCAGTCGATTCCGAATTGTCTGGCCACATACTCTCACACCAGTGTCTGTTTGAAGACGAGCGCTGATCTGATTTGCTGTGATGACACGATTTCTCAAGGCCAAGGTACGGATAAATCGATCCTGGGCTTGAGTTGTCGCCCTTGGTCGACCTGAGCGTGGTCTGTCCTGTACAGATTGTGTATCACGGTATCTGGACCATAGCCTGCTTATGACAGACTGAGAAACATTCATCGTCCGCGCCACAACCGCCTGTGTTGTGCCGATCTGTAGCATGCCAAGGGCACGTAACCTTTCATTTTGGGTAAACCGACGCATATCAAAATTTGTTTTCTGGTCACTAGAACAATTAAACTGATGTTTCCACCCTGGAATTCAATGCCACAATGACATTCAAAGTCAGAGTCGTGCAAATCTTGGGTTGGACCCCCATGATGATCCCAAGCATCACCTGCATTCCATGCGGTAGCTATTGGTGCGTTTGGGCGTCACATGTAACTGGAAATGTTTCTTCTGTTAGGTTCTATAGTGACTTTTTTCGTAGTCATTTGCATATTTTAGTATTATGCCCCCAAAATCAAATATCCCCTACTTTTTTTGAATAGTATATATGACCTTTTGATTTTTGATAGGCATCAGTCAATGAAGGGGTGAGTTCAACAGGTAGTCCAGGCTCGCAGAGGCTACATGGACCCTGGCTCTATGGACCACTTTCTAACACAAAATCACATAAAATCATCTCTTTAAGATAAAGTTTTTCCTTTCTTTGCTAGTTTGGAGTTTCATACAGGCAGTTCAAATAGCTCGCGTATCTGATCAAACACTAGCATTATATTCAAATAGGGGATGTTGCGATACCTTTTTCTTTGTGTATATTACTATATTTATATAAAACAACGTCTTTTATATATTTTAGGCTAATGCCGTCAAAACTATACCATTGTGTATTAGATAGAAGTATGGGAGAAATAATAGAAACAATAGCATTAACAGATAAGTTGCAAACTTTAATTATAGCTGCTAAAGAAGGATATTATAACGTTGTGATATATCTGTTAGAATATGGTGTGGATAAACATTATGTTGATAGCCGCCAGAACAATCTGATAAACATACTTTTAGATACTTATGACACTACATGTGGACATGATTTGTTATTACAATGTGTAGTTAAATTAGTTGAATCTGGGGTCGACGCCAACAAGTTGAATGAATATGAAGAGACACCTATATATGTAGCTACTATTAAAGGGTTGTATGACGTTGTGATATATCTGTTAGAACAGGGTGTTGATGTACATAATATTGATAGAGTTGAAAACAATCTGATACACACATTTTTATATAGGTATGACATTACACTTAGCCATTATTTATTATTAGACTGTGTAGTTAAATTACTTGAATCTGGTGTGGACGTTAACCAGGTGAATACATATAAAGAGACGCCTATATATATAGCTGCTACTAAAGGGTTGTTTGACGTTGTGATATGTCTATTAGAACGAGGTGCTGGTGTACATTATGTGGATAGCCACCAAAATAACCTGATACACACACTTCTAGATATTTATGACAATACATGTAGACATGATTTGTTATTAAAATGTATAGTTACATTAGTTGAAACTGGGGTCGACGCCAATCAGTTGAATGAATATGAAGAGGCACCTATATCTATAGCTGCTAGTAAAGGGTTGTATGACGTTGTGATATATCTGTTAGAACGGGGTTGTTATGTACTTTATTTGGATAGCCATAAAAATAACCTGATACACACACTTTTATATAGGCATGAAATATATGACAATACGGAAAGAAGTGATTTGTTATTGCAATGTGTAGTTACATTAGTTGAAACTGGTGTAGACGTCAACCAGGTAAATGAGGACACCGAGACGCCAATATTAATAGCTGCTAGAAAAGGGTTGTATGACGTTGTGATATATCTGTTGGAAAGCGGCGTTGATGTGCATTGTGTGGTTAGCCACGAGAATAACCTGATACACACACTTTTAGATATTTATGACAATACACGTAGACATGATTTGTTATTACAATGTGTAGTTACATTAGTTGAAACTGGTGTAGACGTCAACCAGGTAAATGAGAATAAAGAGACGCCGATATTGACAGCTGCTAGAAAAGGGTTGTATGAACTTGTGATACATCTATTAGGAAACGGCGCTGATGCACATTATGTGGTTAGCCACCAGCATAACCTGATACACACACTTTTAGAAACGTATGACAATACACGGGGACACGATTTGTTATTACAGTGTGTAGTTAAATTAGTTGAATCTGGGGTCGACGCCAACCAGTTGAATGAATATAAAGAGGCACCTATATCTATAGCTGCTAGTAAAGGGTTGTATAACGTTGTGATATATCTGTTAGAACAGGGTGTTGATGTACATAATGTTGATAGATTTGAAAACAACCTGATACACACATTTTTATATAGGCCTGACATTACATGTAGCCACGATTTGTCATTAGATTATGTAGTTAAATTAGTTGAATCTGGGGTGGACGCCAACCAGGTGAATGAATATAAAGAAGCACCTATATCTATAGCTGCTAGTGAAGGGCTGTGTGATGTTGTGCTATATCTGTTAGAACAGGGTGTTGGTGTACATTATGTGGATAGGCACAAAAATAACCTGATACACAAACTTTTATATAGTCATGACATATTTGACAATACGGGTAGAAGTGATTTGTTATTAAAGTGTGTAGTTAAATTAGTTGAAACTGGTGTAGACGTCAACCAGGTGAATGAGGATAATGAGACGCCAATATTAATAGCTGCTTGGAAAGGGTTGTATGACGTTGTGATACATCTGTTGGAAAACGGCGTTGATGTACATTATGTGGTTAGCCACGAGATTTACCTGATACACACACTTTTAGATATTTATGACAATACATGTAGACATGATTTGTTATTACCTTGTGTAGTTAACTTAGTTGAAACTGGTGTAGACGTCAACCAGGTGAATGAGAATAAAGAGACACCGATATTGATAGCTGCTAGAAAAGGGTTGTATGAACTTGTGATATATCTGTTAGGAAACGGTGTTGATGTACATTATGTGGTTAGCCACCAGAATAACCTGATACACACACTATTAGGGACTTATACCAAAACATGTAGATATGATTTGTTATTAGACTGTGTAGTTAAACTAGTTGAATCTGGTGTAGACGCCAATCAGATGAATAAATATAAAGAGTCGCCTATATTTAAAGCTGCTAGTGAAGGGTTGTTTGACGTTGTGATATATCTGTTACAACATGGTGTTGATGTACAGTATGTGGATACTCACCAGAATAACCTGATGCATACACTTTTATATAGGCATGACATACATTACATTAAAGGTGGACGTGATTTGTTATTACAATGTGTAGATAATATGGTTCATGCTGGTGTAGATGTCAACCATGTGAATAGGAATAAAGAGACGCCGATATTGATAGCTGCTAGAAAAGGGTTGAATGACGTTGCGTTATGTCTGTTAGAACGGGGTGTTGATGTTCATTATGTTGATGGTTTTAAATGCAACATTCTTCACTATGCTGTAGGTTCAATGTATTCCAATATGAACGACACAGAGCAATGTGTACAGCTCGTTAGTACTTTAATAAAGACAGGATTAGATATAAACCAACCTAACTATAAAGGTAATACTCCATTGTTCTATGTCGGTATAAATAAACATTGCTCTCAAAAAACACTCCCTTACTATCTAGGTAAACTATACGGAAAAAAAATGAAATGGAAGATAGGACATGATATCCATGTTCAATTACAATGTAAACTGATTGACGTTTTATTAGAAGCTGGTTGTATTGCGAACCATCAAAACACTGAAGGACTATCAGCTTTAATGCACCATATAAAACACCAAGCTGATATAAGCATATTAAAACTGTTAATTCCATCTTCTGATTTAAGTTTGACTGATAATAATGGTGATACAGCATTAGGTTATTGTGTCCAATATCATATGATCAATTCTACAGCCGTCTTTACACTTTTAGTAGATTCAGGATCAGACATGATGTCACGTAACGCCAGGGTTAAGTTAGTTCATAAGATTTTAAGTTGTAAGAGGTTAGGGGTGTTCAATTATTACATTGGGCTAAAGTTGATTGCTAATGGTGTTACAGTTGAAGGAGAAAATATGCTCCATCTTTTAGCTAGTGTTAACTATGATTATTCGTTAAGGACGTTTAAATGGTTGTTAAAAAACGAGCTAGACATCAACCACCCCTGTTCTAAAACCAACACACCCACTATGATAGCTGCCCTTTTATTAAACAGCGAATATTTAAAACTGTTCACACGTCATCAGAGACTCGAGATCAATGCACAAAATAACCAGGGTCATACAGCCCTTCATCTATGTATCATTGGATTTACGATGGTTAAAGATGGCTTAAGCAACAGACAGATACAAGATGTTGTTAATAACTATTGTAGTCAGATATATCCAAAATACATGCTTTGTATTGATAGTTTACTTGCGGTTGATGGAATAGATGTAAACATTCAAGATACTAAAGGGAGAACTAGTTTAATGATGGCTGCTATGAAAAATGACAGAGTTCTTACAAGGAAACTACTTCAGGCTGGTGCCATGGTTAACGTGTTAGACTATGCAGGAAGGTCTGCCCTACAATACCTCAATATTTACAAAAGTGTAGTTGATTTGACTTGTTTTAAATTACTTGTATCCAATGGTAGTACTGGTCTTCTCAATTTACCCTGTATTGATGGTAACACAATTATCCAAACAGTGTTAAGTTTTCCCTTCTTCTGGGAACCCTATCGTGTCGCTCGTTTTATTAGATACTTAGTTGCTGAAAACTGTTGCTTACAGACTCTCGTTACGTCATCAGTTGAAAGTAGTTATAACCAAATTGATCTGACTGAACTCAGTATCCGAGAGAGAGGTAAACTGAGAGAACTGTTATATCTTAGTGGTGCCCGAGAAGAGGAAGTGATGACCACTTTAAATTTTGATGAGGAAGATAAGGGATGTGACGTAAAAGATACTATTCGCTCCCCAGGCAGAGAAGACTTCATTAGGTTCTGTAGTAAAATAGAGGTCTCGTCCCTGTGTAGGAGAATCGTCCGACAAAATCTTGGATTGGGAATAAAGGAGAAGGTCAAGAATCTAGAATTGCCTTCTAAATTTCATGGTTTTCTTCAATTAAAAGATATTCTTGATCCTGAAGATTACAACATAGATAATATTGATGATGGCTGTAATGATTTTGATGATGATGATGACTATGATGGTTATGATATAGATAGCGATAGAGACGATGATTATAGCCAATATAAATACCAGTATGTTACTCTCAATACGGATGATGAGCTTAGACAAGATTTCTTGAAAACCGTGATGTTTCCTAATGGTGACAGTGGTTTGAATATTTACGTAGACCACCATGCCTAGTTGTAATCAGTCCGCCGTTAAAGCGTTTTCAATATATTCCTTGTCAATAGTCGGATGACGTCACATAAGTAGCCATTTGTGAGTCAGTGGGTGAATAGATCAAATTTACCGTTTTTGCACGAGAAAGATTTTACGGTAACATGGACAGGTGGAGATATTATACATTATAGCTCATGGAATATAAATAGGCAGGATTCGTGATTGTCGTCTGTTACCCTTCATCATTCAAAATGTTCGTTGTTCTTCCGGTTTAGAATTATTGTTAAACAGACATCCGTTAATGAATAAATCAAGATAGCCAGGCGATTACATAATGTTCCCACCAACACTGTACCTTATCTGAGGTAACACTGTAATTTCAGTGGAGTTACTCTAACTCCTGGACAGATTCTAAAGATTAGCCTTAATCTGCCATGCGACCAACTGCAGCAGGAATTGGAGACTTGTATAATTACCTAGGTACTAGTGTATGTTTAAATTTATTAAGAAGCTTCACAGTAATTGATTTCATATTTTTCAAACATATTTGTCCATTTTCATATCTTATAATTCAAGCCATAACTGAAACAAAATTATAATGCTTTTATACACCCACGTCAAAATGGGGTCGTATATTGTTTTCGCTCCCTTTCCGCCCGTCCATTCGTCTGTCCGTTATCCACAATTTATGTATGTTGTTTACATCGGTGAAACTAAGACGCCACTTTAATTTAAACAATGTCCGCTAATTTCTTTCTGGATTTATGACTCTTGTTTCGGTTCGTAGAAACCTGTAAACCCTCAAGCGAAAACAGCTATCATCCGATCATTATGAAATTTATTTATATTAGTAAGACGAAAAAGCTTATCTAATTTCAGCAATGTCCATTTATTACTTCTAGATTTGTGGCCCTTGTTTTGTATTATTTCCATTCACTTAGTAGAACACTGTGATTGCTCGAATAACAAAAATGTTAGTATCCGATATGTATGAAATTAAAATACATTATTTGAATTAGTAAAACCAGGAAGTCTATCGAATTTCAACAATTTCCATTTATAACTTTTGGAGTTATGGCCCTTGTTTCACTTTGTAGTACCTTGTGAACACTCAAATGATAACTAAAGTTGTCATCCAATTTGTATTAGACGGATATCAGTAGGGTTGGGGGAATAAATACTTTTTTTTCGGAAAACAATCAAAAATTGCGGCCAAAATCGGCAAAAATGATGTAGTTTTGCCATAACTGTTCCGTGTTAGCTTTTATGTGCCTTATAATATGTCCTTTATATGGTGTTCGGTGTCGCTGGTTTCAATTCAGGCATTATAATCATGTTTCAAAAATCCAAAATGGTGGAATCCAAGAAGGCGGCCAAAATAGAGTCTTTTTGACATAACGGTTCGGTGTTAGTTATTTTATGACTTATAATATATCCTTAAAGATACTTTCCCAGAAAAGTATTTATCGGAAAAGTATGGAAATTTTGGTATATATGGAAAGTAGAAATATCCAATCTTGCTAGAAAAATACTGGATTCCCTGAAAAACACTCATGTAGCGCATAGAGGACAAAATTGTCACAGGCTGCAAGCGGGGATTGAGCGCTTGATGCATATGTTGATAAACCTTGTGAAGAGTTAGACGTACAACACTTTCTGAGATAAAAATCATAGAAAACACACATGGACAGTGGATAATCAGAGAATTTAATTAGGTTTCGATATTTATTATGAATGGATAGCGATTAAAGACAACATCGTCTTGTGTATGCAATGAATTCTCCTCACGTGATACAAACATGACCTCTTTTAATAGATTTTTTTATAGCAGGGGTATTCAAGATAACGTATTTTTGCTGTAAAAGTTCGGGCTCGCCGGTTTCAGTTCCGGAAATCTAAAATGGCGGCCAAAATACTCAGAAATAGCGTATTTGTGTTATGGCAGTTTGATGTGCCTTATAATATGTCCTTTATAGTGGTTTCAGGGTCGCCTGTTTCAACTCCGGTGATGTAAATGTGTTTTGAGAATCCAGTTCGGCGGAAAATTAAGATGGCAGGTATTTTGAGAGAAACCAGGATCACGGATGGTCTTGATGTATATCCTAAATTATATAATATTACAATTATTCATATATCGAATCCGGATAATACACATAATAATAACAAAATTTACTGTTATTCTCTAACTAGTCCTCATGGTAGTCCATTGTTTGTGTTATACAATTGTGTATAGGATAGTAATATATTATGATATTCTATCAATATATAGTCTCCTTAAGATCCCGGTTAGCATATTATCCTTCCTGTTGGTGCCATTTTTGGGTGTGGCGCCAGGCAGGGTAAGCTTACTCTTCCGGACACCTGTTTGTCGTGTATTTTGTACACGAGGAGCAGTCCATTTGCTGATTACACTATTTTGCTTTAATACACTATTTTGCCTATAACGTTTTTTAGGACTTCGAATTCTGTCTTATGGTTTGGATTGTTCGTACTTGGTTTTATTTTATTTTAATAGTGAATCAATGTCCTACCCAAAATCAATTCCTACCCAAAATCAGTTTCAGGCTTGATCACAAATTTTATAGACCGCTTCAATTCTGACTTCGTGAAGTGTATTGTAAACACTCCCAGAATAAATATGGGACAAGCAGTGTCGACTTCTCGGACGATTTAGCTGTTTTGGACGTATGTTTCGTTGTCTGGCAACCTATAATTTGTTACGTAATATGCTGTCGCACTTTATGGTCAGCAATTTCGTCCAACGAATTAGTTCTAATCTATTATGCATAATCTATTTATGCAAAACTGTTTTTGTATATAAAATATAGTACTCGTACATAGTAACATCTACCCTGTAATGGTCATACTATATACCTAATATACGTTTGTAAATATATATTATTTTTGTACGGTAAATAATTTCAATTAAAATCAATCTATCCATAATAATATAGCTAATGTATTTGACATTAAAGTTGTAATAAACAAAACACCTGGTTTAACAGATGTATTTCCATTTGTGTGTGTCACATTAATCTCTTATTTAAAGGCTTGATGCGTCATTTAGAGCTATAGGAATTTCTTTTCAAACTACAATATTAGCAAAGTTTAATCGCTGACAGAAATATCAGTCCAAAATGATTCAGTCCCGTTCAGTATTTACAATGTTATGATAAATTGTAATTTCATCGATCAAGGCGCCAACATCTGTTATTGGTAGCGAAGAAACATGATGGGTCTGCGATTGAATCCAAGCCGGGAGGTTATCTAGCGTTAGTATTTTGATTTTGTTTTCTTAATATACATTTAATGTTAAATAATGAATCTGTGTACATGTTAGCTTGTATTAAGCCGTGGCAAATTTGGTATTTTAATCAAAATGTAAATGACACATCAAGCCTTTGATATACTAGTGTACTAATAGAAACTGCATGATTCAACCATGGAATAATTTATCTTCTTTTAGAGTCTCTGAATGTTGAAACTCTATCCAAATTATGATTTTATTTTCATTAGTATTTACAAAGTTATGATGAATTAAAAAATTGTCAATATTCAGCACCTTCTGCAGAGGATATAAATGGGATGCGGTCAAAACGAACCAGCCTTTGTTGAAATATTTTGATGGGCCTCTTTTTAATCCATTTGTATTCCAATCCACCAGAACATCTATATTGTTGATATTTTAATTTTGTTTTACTTAAAGGAGCTAAGTCTCTAACTTAATATTTTCCATAATATTCGAAATTAAAAACACGAATTAGAATTCAATATTGATCAATTTCAATCAATATTGATCAATTTCAATCAATATTGATGTTGTTATCTTGCCGTGGAACTGTAGGATCCTAATATCCAACATCTAAGACACAATTAAAAGTTTATAAACACTGCACGAGTCGTGTATCCTGTGGTTTCGGGTGCCATTTTGTAATGAACAAATAAAAACATATCCCACAACACAATGTGGAAGTAATTAGTAATGGTTGATTCACAAAGCATGGGTAAAAAAAACTGCCGTTCAATTTGAACTGTTCGCGTATTTCACCATACATAATTAATTAGAAATTACAATATTGTTTTCAACAATTGAATATAAATCACTTTACATACATTTATATTACATTAATATGTGATATTAGAACCATTTTTGTCTATTTTAAGGTTCTAAAAATAGAGTCATAGGCCCTTTAATTAAAGAGGAAAATAATCAGTCTGGGTACATTTTAGCATGAAAACCTAGATATTGTCAGAACATATGCAAATGAAGATCAGTGTCTTTAATAATTGTATACTTGTTACATTTTATATTGTATTGTTAAATTGAAAATATTTGTGTAATTTTCATTGTGTTTGATTTTAAAATTGTCATTGATTATTAATAAATACTACATTTGTAAATGTGATTGTAGTTGTTTTGATTCTGATTGGATGGGTGGGTGGAATAGTCTCCCGATTTCCAAACCCAAACAAGCTCCGTATAAACTCTGAGAATTGACTCCCCCAAAACACACCTCTACTTTGTCTAGTACACCCATGCATGGTAATCATAATCATAGTTTCCCACGTAATAATGGTGTAGTTATCTGTCTGACACGTGTAGAATCTAGTTAAATGACATGAAATGGGGTTTAACGCCCTACTATACTGGCCCGCGTGGGCTAATGAAGACGGGCATACGCCATACAGTGTGCTATATGGGAAATATTGCCCTGACAGTGGCACTAAGGCCTACACTTATATCGAATCCCAACTGCCAAGGGAATTTTTACGTGCACGACAATGCGTACACGGGACCTCGGTTTTTTTCCCATCCGAACGACTATAGATAAGTTGTCCCTTGTCAGACCTATGGTCCTGCATCACTGACAAGGAGGAACAACGCCGGAAAATCCCGATAAACTTTCTCGGCTAACGAAGGGGTCGGAACGCGACCTCCAGGTATGTAAGCCACCGTTGACTCCCGGGGAGGTTACACATTAACCAAAAGTTGCAGGAAAAGGGGAGAAAAAAATTAAGGGAAAATTTGTTTATTTATAACTCGCAATACTCCGATTTGGCACAAAGCAGATGCGTCTTCAACTAAATAGTGATTTTGTGGTTCGATATTCAAATTGAATCGTGTTTCGTTATTCTTTATTGAAAGAGAACGTGTCTATTCGGTATTTACATTTTGAATAACGAGGCAGAACGTTTTTCATTATTCAGGATTGGAACACAATTATTATCTATTCTTATAAGTTTCATATCATCACTGTCCACTTGTCACTAAACTAGACGCTTTTTTTCTTGTCTCCGCAATAAATACAAGGAAATGAAATGAAATGCGGTTTTACGTCCTATTGTGCTACATCAACTGGTCTAATGAAGACTGGCAAGCACTATACAATGTGGGTCTTTGAGGATTTTGGGGCCTCCGACCTAACATCAGTGACTAGACCTTAGGCATTATTATTCCACACACATGAATGTAACTACATCAAACCAAATTTGAAGCTGGCCAGTGACCTCTAGTCATATCCGCGCAGGTCGTAAGGTTACCACATAGTAACCGCCCAGAGTCGAATTTTGACGAACGTCGAATCGGTTGACACAGATTTAAAAGCGTTTTGTTGGAACCAAAACGCGAAATATAGGGAAAATTCTGCAAAATCTCCCCCCAAAGTACAGAAAATGGCATTTAGGTGACTCTAGATTCAAAAATTTCCCGGGGTTGGGGAGGGGGGGGGCAGCCCCTGGATCCCCCTAGAAAGATCGCACCTGTCGTGCTCGGCTCGTGGTTGCTTCACTCGTATTAGGGACCTGTGCACCAGTCGGTCTAATTTTACCTACACACTCCACCCCCACCCCCACCCCACCCCAAACCAAAATCGATATGTACGTTCTACTTTTATTTCGAATTCCAACTGTCCAGAATTTACGCGCACGGGAATGACTTATTTGGAATTACAGCTGTCAAGGAATCTTTTACGTCCCACACAAACGACTATTCGTTGTCCCTTGCCAGGCCTGAACCGTAAAAGAATATGCAGTCATGGGGAAATATTGTGTCACGTGTCTTGTATCCGACAGAAAAACAACAATGTGAAAATATCGGCCAAGTTCTCGCCATGATCATGACTCTGTAGGTCAGTAATGGAGTGATTGAATGTTTGTAAACAAGTTTAGAACTTTCTGGAAAACTGTGACTACAAGAGTCATTCGGCACACACGATTCCTGTCTCCAACACACGGCGTGAGTCGAATGTTCGATGGATTCATTTTTTCCAGTTTTTTTTTCTTTAGCAACGTCGACCTTTTCACCCCAAACCCCCGTTTTAATTTTGTGTTTTATGAGAGCAGGGGGAGAGGGAGGGATCGCCGTTGTTTTTCCTAAATTAAAAATTCACTACAATACTTAAATTGTTCGTACTTGGTTTTATTTTATTTATCATAAACGAAATAACATTTTTAAAAAGTTCCGGGGGTGGGGGGGGGGGGTAAGTTTTATATATTATAAGTGGAAGAAACCTGGCAATGTAGAAATGATTGTATCATCATTCATGGGAATCTGTTGGTTGAACTGGTTGTGGGGCTCGCGCAAGTTTAATCTGGGACATGATAGACTCGGTTGTCAAGAATACTTTTTGTCAGATCAAGTTGTGAAACTGGGCCGGACCGTGAACATTATTAAAGTTAATCTACAAGACGATACCACAATGTCAGCGGTAGTAAAACGAATTATACAGACGAAAAAAGCACCGAAAGCTATTGGCCCATACAGGTAGGCCTACTATAATGGTAACTATAACTTATTTTGCTAGATAACTTTAGAATTCCAGAGGACGAAATGGAACTTGGAATGGCTTGAAGTCCAATCAAAACGTGGTTCCAACAACTAAATCTAGATTGTGTGGTACACGCATCGATATTAGTAAATATTTACAACGAATGAACGATATGATATAGATTGCCACATGTGTTGTTATTTAGTTCAACACGACAATAGTATTAGTACTAGTTAGATACCGTTTGGTCAACGTGTATCAATAACATTAATTTAATGTTTAAAACCGCTTTAATTAAATTAAAAATAAAACAAGGCAACTTTATTTGAAGCATTTATTGGGTCAGTATGTCATTCCAAAACACAAAAACTCTGACCAGGGCTAGAGTAGATTACCTAATCTGAACAGTTCACCTATATTTTATAAGTCTGTGTAATAATGGCCTTGACTTTGATGTGGCTACAAAATTGTTGTTACCTCCCTTGGTATGTTAACTTCATAATGTCAGTACACAGACCACTGCTTTTTTTGCAACCCTACCTGTAGTGTTTCAGCTCAAGATCAGAGGTAGACCTATGACATGCGCCTGAAACCTAGTATTAAATTCCTTTTTTTTTTACAATTCTTTCTCAATTCTTTTTGTTTTAAACTTATATATTCATGGTCCTAGTAATCACAGACAAATGTGAACATTTGTTTGTCAATATAATATTGCTCAAAGTATTGCAAGGAACTACTATATGTTGTAGATATACAAATTCTACAAATCATGTCCAAAATTAAAATGATTTCATAAAAAAAGTGATAAAATTAATTATGGATGACTATATACATGACCCTATATTAGTACTCTGTTTAAGAGATGTTTTTTTTTTTAAATTTTAGCCAGGCTGTAGTGGCTGACCGTACTCTCTATATTTCTGGTCAGTTGGGTTTAGATCCAGAAACCATGAATCTTGTTGCAGGAGGACCGGAGGCAGAAGCAGATCAAGTGAGTTCTGTCAGCAAATATCAGATACGCTAGTTAGGCTTTAGACAAATGTATAACAAATAGTTAATGCGTACACGTTTGATCATAAAGTCTGTGATCATTGAGTCAAGTGATGTGGTTTTGATTCCTCGCTTGTACGTGACAAGAAATAGGATTGCCTGTCCAGCCTCTTGGTCCTCCAGTTTCCTCCCACATTTAAAGACCCCATGTATATATTGGTGGTGTGCATGTAAAAGATCGCTTTGCAGTTGGAATTCAATATAAGAGTAGGTCATAATGTCGCTGCCCAGGCAAAATTTTCCTCATAGCCCTCTGTATGGCACATGCCTGTCTTAGTCGGAGCTGAACAGTTGGATTTTAATCCCCATTTCATTTCATATACTTCTAGGCATTAAAGAATATGGGTGCTATTCTAGAAGAGGCAGGAGCAACTTTTAATAATGGTGAGTGATATTTTAATGTTAAACAGTTTATGTAATCCATCTATCAGAATGGTTCAAAAGTTTATATAATCATTCTATCAGAATGGTTCAAGGACCTAAATGTCTATTCTTTGAAACCTGAAATAGACAAAATGGGTCAAAAATCCCACATCAATGTAATATGAATGTATAAACTGGTTTACATTTATTTTTAAAAACAGTTTTATTGAAATTTCCAATCAATTATGTTCGTCAAAATATGTGAGAATGGTAGTCGCTAGCGCCTTGTTTGCCCGGTCTTCATCTGAAGTGTGGTTCGATATCACTCAGTAATAAACTGTAATTCAAATTGTATTCCATAGAATTGTATCCTTGTAAATTATAATAATAGTTTATAGAATCATACAGTGTCAAAAATATTATACACCTAGGCCAGAGTCCCACTACATCTTGACAGTCTAGGCTTCAGTCTGCCAAGTCTATAGATGCCCAGATATCATGAGACAAGACTTAAAGCTACACATTAACTTACTATTACTATATCGGCATCATCTGAATTACAAAATACAAATTCTGTTGTTTTTCAAAATTACAAACTAGAAAATAGCTGATCTCTAAATCAGAAGATGTACACCCACCTATTACACCTTCTCGTCCTTCCTTGCTAAAGAACCCTACACCTATTGAAATAAAATTGAACTATATGTTAGTTCCGAAATGACCTAGTTTGCAACAAGTAGACGTTAAACTCTATTTCTCTCTCTTTTTTCAAGACTTGGTTAGAACGATTGTAAACAAAATATATTTTATTTTTATACTTCAGTTGTTAAAACCACGGTATTACTTCAAGATATAAATGATTTCGCACGAGTTAATGAAGTTTATGCAAAATGTAAGTAGAACAAAAGATATTTGTTATGTCATAACCCTATATCATACAATATTGAAAATTGAATATTTCTACAAGTTGATTCAAACTGATTGCTTTGTTTTTATTAAAGATACATTATGTAAGATTTAGATAAAGGGTTCGTCGTTCTTGCTAGAATAGTTAAAATTACTTTATTCTGAGTGAAGTTAAGAATGGTTGAAGATTTGACAAGGTTTAGCCGAAGTACCACTGTCTTATCATTTTAATCTGTTGGTCTAGAGAGTTGATTATGCGCTTGTCATGTGAATAAATGTCTTGAATAATAATTCGAATAATATTTGAAGACAGAAACAATACCTGAAATAGGCAGATTTATCTCTTTACATAATGCATCTTTAAATTTTTTAGCGAGGGTTACATAGTCTCTTCATTACTTTTATTTAATGAAATGAAATGGGGTTTAATGTCCTACTGATCTGCTCAAAACTGGGCTAATGAAGATGGGCATACACCATACAGTGTGCGATGAGAAAAATTTTGCCCGGACAGCGGCACTACGGCCTACTCTTATATCAAATTCCAACTGTCAAGGAATGTTTTACGCGCACGCCAATGTGTACATGGGACCTTGTTTTTTCATATCATCCGAACGACCAGACAGCTGTCCTTGTCAGACCCTCCGTCCTGCATCACTGACAAGGGGGAACCACGCCGGACTGTTATTTAATAGGAAAAAAAACCCTTCTATTGTTTGACGTAAAGTCGACTGGGGTGGTTTTGAATCCCCAGTTGTACGTGACAAGTAGTAGGGGCGCCTGTCCAACCTCGTGGGTTTTCTCTGGGTCCTCCGGTTTCCCCCCACTGCTAAAGACCCCTACGCCATGGGTTCCACGTCAACCGTATATGCCAGTCGAGACCTACGGCTATGGAAAAGGACCATTCCTAGATCCGACCTAACGGTCATTTTGCACGCCGGAAAGAGGGTCTTTTTTTTTAAAAAAAGAAATTTCAAACATGACTATGATCTACCTTCACTGTGTAACTATACAAGAATGCACGTCGTCTAGAAGCCAATCTCGTGATTGGTGTTATAGAGTTGTATATATAGTCGTCAACAGAGTATACTGAGTGTTGTGTTGATAATTAATGATGAGTGTCTGGTAGTAGAGCAATAAATGTTTATTGATAAGTGGGAATCTAATCAATGGCATGAAGCGGCCCATTGTTAATCATTCACGTATTGTCCACGTGTCATAAGAATTTTCAACAACAAAGCCGTTTACCGCTATTACGGTCAGGCACAATGTATACGAGGTTATTATGATCTTCGAAAAAGGGCAATTGATATGAGGTATTGCTCTTCGAATCCAACCAACAGCATAGAAATTACGTAAAATGTTTATAGCGGTATTACGGCCTTGTGGAAATTGTTGAAATAAAATCTAGAGATTAGTTAACTTGCTTACCGAAAAATTAAGAAAAATACGTATTCCAGTTCTATTGTGCAGGGCCTACGCGCAAGCGAATTATTGAAATAAAATTAAACCATATGTTAGTCCCGAAATGACCTAGTTTTTGTCGAGTGGACGTTAAACCCCATTTCTCTCTCTCTCCCTTCTATTGTTTGAATTAACACTGATATTTCGACGACTACAGAAATGACCAGATTCAATCAGGGCATGATCAACCAGGGCAGGACAAATCAATGGGCGGGGGAATGGGGCTTTTGAATTAAGAAAAAAGAACATGTCCAGTGCAGCGCAAAGCAGAGAATATTTAAAAAATATTCGATTTTGTGCATTCTGTGGCATATTCTGGTCGAGTAATACAAGAATCTCTCGGACATCTTATGGAACTCTTTGATCTTGAACCCAACCCAAAATGTTAGATACCCCACATTGTCCTCCGTCCACCCCCCTCGATTAGGTATTGGATTGAAGATTTGGAGGACTGTCGACTATGCTATTTATTTGTTATGAAAATAAATGTTTATAATTATAGATTTTAACCAAGCTTTACCAGCCAGAGCTGCCTATCAAGTTGCCGCTTTACCAAAGGTAATTATAGTATAGAATAATTTACCCAAGATAATTATAGTATGAACTAACTTATACTTTACCCAAGATAATTATAGTATAGACTAATTTACCCAAAATAATTATAGACTATGGACTAATTTACCCCAAAAATTATAGACTATGGACTAATTTACCCTAGATAATTATAGTATGGACTAACTTATACTTTACCCAAGTTAATTATAGACCAACTTATACTTATCCAAGGTAATTATGGACTAACTTATACTTTATCCAAGGTAATTATAGTATGGCCTAACTTATACTTTATCCAAGGTAAGTATAGACCAACTTATACTTTATCCAAGGTAATTATGGACTAACTTATACTTTATCCAAGGTAATTATAGTATGGACTAAGGTATTATAATGGTGGAGTCGTAGTTCAAACTCACCATCCAAGAGATACATTGTTCTATTCTGTTGTTGGCCAAGAAATTTTCCCTGAATTTTCCAGCGAGGTTTCCCCTGACAATCAAAACATTGCGTCGTTGCAAAGAAAAAAATAAAACCGAGGTCCTGTGTACACAGTGGCGTGCATGAAAAAGAACTCTTGACAGTTAGAATTTGAAATCCTAGTAAAATTTCCCTCATAGCACACGGCATGACATGCAATAGAATGAAAGAAATGAGGTTTAACGTCCTACTGTTCTGCAACAACCGAGGTAAACAAGACAGGTATATGCCATGAAGTGTGCTATGAAGGAGCGGAGCTATAGCCTATTCCTCACCTTCTCTTCAACAAAATTGTATTTTCATGTACACCCCCTACCTTGAACCGATGATAAAGATGAAAACAAACGTAAAAATTCCCAAGGACCTTTCTCTGCCAACGCTGAGATCGAACCTGGGACCTGCTGTGGATTCCTATAAGCATGAGGGTTGGATGGTCTCTCTCTATATAAAGTTGGATGGTCTCTCTCCCTATAAGCATGGGTTTTGGGTGGTCTCTCTCCCTATAAGCATGGGTGTTGGGTGATCTCTCACCCTATAAGCATGGAGGTTGGATGGTCTTCCTTCCTATAAGGGGGGGTTGGATTGCTGAATGATTAGCATGCACGCGCTGTATCATAAAGTCTGTTATTGAGTCGACTGGCGTGGTTTCGAATCCCCGGTTGTACGTGACAAAGAGTAGGGTCGCCTGTCTAACCTCGTGGGTTTTCTCCAGGTCCTCCGGTTTCCTCCCACTGCTAAAGACCCCTATGCGCAAGCGAATTATTGAAATAAAATTAAACCATATGTTAGTCCCGAAATGACCTAGTTTGTGTTGAGTGGACGTTAAACCCCATTTTTTTTCTCTCTCTCTCTCCCCCCTTCATATAAGCATGGGGGTTGGATTGTCTCTTTCCCTATAAGGATTTGAAAATGAGCACAAGTAGGCTTTTTAATATTGTTTCCTGTAATTCCACTGGCAACTTACATTTTTTTTGTTTTTCAGAGTGGTAAAGTTGAAATAGAAGCCATTGCACTTTTAGGAGAGTTAAAAATAGAGTAACAAACGTATACATTCAATTGTTATTGGAAGGATTTTAAGTTTTTATATTTAGCAGGTATCTAAATAATAAAAACAAATTATATGCTAATTATCTTGTGTTGATGATGAATTGTTTTGTAATTACTGTCAAATTTGAAATATTAATTTTTACATGAAGCATTATGTAAGAATTAGATAAAGTGCTGACTGTTCTTGTTCAAAATAGATAATGAAAAATGATAATATTGAAAATTTCATTCAAATTACTTTATTCTGAGCAAAGTTTGGAACATTTGAAGATGTAGCAAGAATTGTTTATGATTGTATATAGAAACAGTACTGGACAAAGGAGACTAAGTTTTGATTATCCATTTCATTGTTGACATGGGCTAATATAGGCAGGACTAGTTAAGAAGTTATAAACTTAAATATGATTAAAAATAGCAAATATAATTTATGCTATATATTTAGTATAAATGTATTCTAGTCTATTAGGCAATAATTTCATATTTACAATCAGTGATAGATTACTTTTACTGATAGCCTACCCCGTGTATATTAAATATATTTTTTCAGCCTCCTTGAGTGAGAGTAATGACTGTTTGCGATGGTGGGAAGTTTTGAAATGGAATCTTTATAATTGTATCATATGCTTGGAAATTACTCAATAATCCTAGTCCAACTCTAATGTTTAATTGTTTAGAATATTAAATATAATTTTATTCTTTATATATAAATTTATACTGCATATGCCTATAAAATATTAAATATTATTTTATATTTGCCAATAAAATGAGATTTAATCTAGCAATGCCCCTTCTTGAAGTGTCTTATGAATTCTGTGGATTAGGTGATGGTATATGGCAGGTGTATCTGTAATAAAATCATTTCTCCTTTCAGTATATAGCTTTCTTTAATTTTTATACGCCCACATTGTGGGCAGATATTGCCGTCGACCCCGTCCGTCCGTCCGTCTGTCAGTCCGTCCGTCTGTCCATCGTCCACAATTTCTTGTGAACGCTCTAACGCCAAAAGTTATCATCCAATTTTTTTAAAAATTGATATATGTTGTTTACAATAGTGAGATGAAGAAGCCTATTTAATTTCAATAATTTCTGTTTATTATGTCTAGAGTTATGGCCCTGGCTTCACTTTATTGAACCTTGTGAACGCTCTAACGCCAAAAATTATCATCCGATCTTTCTGAAATTTATATGCATTATTTAGATTACTGAAACGAAGAAGCCTATTGAATGTCAGCAATTTCCATTTATTACGTCTAGAGTTATGGCCCTTGTTTCACTTTATTGATCCTTGTGAACGCTCTAACGTGAATTTCAGCAATTTACAATAATTACTTCTAGAGTTATTGCCCTTTTTTCATTTTGTTAAACCATTTTAATGCTCGATTGATGAAAGTTATCATCCGATATGTATGAAATTTATATGCATTATTTAAATTAGTAAAACGAAAAAGCCTGTCAAATTTCTGTAGATTACTTCCAAGTTGAGACCCTTGTTTCAGTTTGTAGAACGTCGTAAACCCGCAAACGACAAAATTTTTAATCTGATTTGTATGGAACTGTCTTGTAAAGACCCCCAATTACCTACAAAGGAATAAATATTCGACAATCCTTGTGGACCGCTCGGACGATTTAGCTGCTGTGGGCGTATGTTTTGTTGCCTGGCAACCTATCTTTTATTTAGGAGGGCGGGGGTATTAATGGTTTAACACAACATGTGGGTTAGATCATAAGGTGTGTCATTGAGTCAAGTGGCTTGGTTACAATTCTCCCGCTTGTATGTGACAAGAGTAGGGTCTCAGTCCAACCTCGTGGTCCTCATGTTTCCTCCCACACCTACAGACCCCTACATGCAATGAATTGTTGAAATAGAATCGAACCGTGTGTTAGTCCCGAAATGACCTAGTTTGTGTCAAGTGGACTTTACACCCGATTTATAACCAGATTCGCCCAAATAATTTGCAAATTTGTATTCATTAATGTAAAACTGCATCTGTAACAAGCCCCCCCCCCCCCCCGGAACCGTATTTTGGCTAACTGGCTCACCCAACCACTCCTACATAAATTTAGTTTTGAAATATAACAAAATCATATATACCTTATAAATGACCAAACTGAACGTAAGATTAAGATAAGTGTATCACTCTCTCCATATTAGGGGGATAGGAACCAGGCCCGTAACTAGAGGGGGCGCAGGGTGGGGCTTCGCCCCCCCCCCCCCCGCCCCCTGTGCAAAAATTTTCAACCATAAAAAAAATAGATATACATTGTCTTTCAATATTACAGCACCCCCGAGAACACTTAACGCCCCCCTCGTTGCTCTTAGCTAGTTACGGCCCTGACGGTAACACCAATGACAACACCATAACACCAATTATGATTGAAATGAAATGGAGTTGAACGTCCTTCTCTCCATCCTTCTTTCTTTACTGCACGGACTGAGCTAATGAAGACGGACATACGCCATGTACAATTGTGCCCGCCCATCGGTGCCTCAACCTACTTTTATATCAAATTCTAACTGTCATTTTTTTTGTCCCATCCAAACGGCTTGACACCTGTCACTGTCAGGTCTCTCTCTCTCTCTCTCTCTCTCTGTATGCTAATGTAACAAAATGATCACACATGGTTCGGATCGTGTTTTTATGGTTTATTTAATCTATGATAAAATTTTCAAAGAATACAAATACAAACAATGAAGAAAACTAGACATAAACATAGTTACTATGAATAATATACTACATACATATACTACATGTTAGATATCAGATTATATATTACATATTAGATATAAAATAATATATGACATATCAGATATAAAATAATGTATTACATATTAGATATAGAATAATATATTAGATATAGAATAATATATTACATATTAGACATTGAATAATATATTACATACTAGATGTAAAATAATATATGACATATCAGATATAAAATAATATATTACATATCAGATATAAAATAATATATTACATATCAGATATAAAATAATGTATTACATATCAGATATAAAATAATGTATTACATATTAGATATAGAATAATATATTAGATATGAAATAATATATTACATATTAGATATAGAATAATATATTAGATGTAATGTTGGCGTATAAAAATCAGAATGTCTGATAAACAGTTATGAATTTGAGATACCCACGTGTATTTCGGTAGTTAACACTACCTTGTAATAAAATACAGTAATAACGGTTTATTAAGTTCTATGATATTCATCTGGATCAGTCTGGTTAGAATCGTTTATTAACATTTTAGTTCAAGATTCACTACTAGACAAGACGATTCCGCCATTATTATTATATGAAATAACCGACTAAACTTATATTGTACAGCAGACGAGAATGATGTCACAAAACCTTCAGGTCAAAGTTGAAATAAACTTCCATAGAACTGAGAGAACTCGAACTCACTGGATACAAGTCAGTGCCACCTACCCGACTGAATGTTAAATAATCTATCGATTAAGCCGTTGATTAAGATATCCTAGTCCTGTGCAGCTTTCTAAAATGCTGCAATATTCTTTCGATAAAATACGGGCTCTCAGTTTCAAGGTGAGTTTAATCCGATTAATTTAAAATAGGTATTATGCAAGAGCTTAATCTTCCTATTGCAGGCCTTTCTTTGGGCCTTTAAAATGTTATATTATTATTAATCACACATTAATTAGCGTGACAAGACCATGATCAACTCTAGGTGCCATTGGATGGCTCCTATTTTAAGTCGATTATAACGGTCCGGCCATTTAATGATTTGATTCAAAAATGGATAATCAAGACTTAACAGCGATAGCAATGACAATCGAGGCTACACTATAATTATCTCGCCGACCACTCGGCTTAGTGTTATTGTAACGGTAATATCTCGGCTCAGAGTGAAGTAATTTGACGTAAATTTTTAACATATTCCCTTTTCATTATCTTTTTGTTAAGTATTAAATCGAGAACTGTCAGTTCTTCATCCAATCTTACATACTGCTGCTTTAATTAAAAGTTAAACAATCAATCCGAGTGAGCCGTGAAAAATTATACATCGTTGGCAAATTAACGACTACCGACTTTTATAGAAGGCGTGATTTCATATGGCGTAACCCCGTGGTAGCGCGGCAACTTTATAAATCTGCGAGGAGATTTTCTCATAAAGGTTGACGTCATCAGCTTTAATAAACTGTTTTAATTTGAACATAGCACGTATATGTCCATTGTTAATAAGTGACGGACAAAAATCTTCAAGTTTAATCAGAACTAACTGACCATTCCTTTGTTTGACTTTATGACAATAGGATTCATTTAATTCGAAAAGTTTCAACGGATCTTTAAAAAGGGTTTTTGACATGACGGCCACAACGGATCGACTGTTATGTATATTGGTAATATTAGCATCGGCAGTTACCTCCCCAATAATACCATCACGGAACGAGATGTATGATTTTATACCCAATCGATCAAAATAAGGAATAAGATTTTCTATAACCCACATTCTGTCCGCATCTGAGGCCTCGTTTAAAAGCACGAACACACCAAGCCCTCGGCCATTTCCGTCGCCTAACTTCCGTTTTCTCTTTGTTGGTAGATGGGTATGAAGTATAACCATTATCTCAAACCGGAAGTAGATAACGACCACAATTAAAACAATGATCAGAAAGCAAAATATGCCCAACACGATACTGATAGGTTTAGTCACCGAGTTTACAACTCGACAGTTGAATTCATCTGGTTGTAAATTATCAATGGTTAATCGCTGATCGCCATTAACTGTAGAACAAGTTATATTAGATCTGTTTTTAATGTCAGGTTTGGATTCAAACCAACCTTTTAACCACAAACTATCACAAGAACAAATAAACATGTTATTAGAAAGATCAATCTCAGCCGATCGTAAGTTCTGGATGGTTTCTGGAAGATATTTCAGTCTGTTGTAGGCAAGATTCAAATATTTCAGTTGATCTCGAGAATTTGCGAATACTTCCGGTGCTATTTTTGTTAATTTGTTATTCGACATATCCAGGTGAATAATTCTGGCCATATAAGGACGTCCGGGTAGGACTTCTATGGAATTGTTTTGAAAGTTCAGAAATAAGTTCTCGTGAAATGGTAATCGAATTGGTATTTGTGAAAGTCCAGCATTCTGACAATTAATGACCATTCTATCCGCGTCTGGCTGTTCCTGGCATAAACACGCGGAAGGACAAGAATCCGTGACGTTGCACACAAAATCAGATAAATTTTTATGTATAAAAGCGAGCTTTCCCTTTAAATTTGGCGGAGTGCTGCACGTGATATCAGTCCAACGATTTACTACAAATCCTTCTTTATATTTGCCTATAACTGACATCAAAGCCGCCAATGGATACAAATGACAATCACAGTGCCATATATTATTGTCCATGTTAAAACTCCACCAGAATAAAGTGCTGACCAGTGACGGAAATGGAGGTCGAATGGCTGTTAACATCTTTGTGTCGAAAATTCTCATTTTGTTGTTCCTTAGAGATATATAACCGGGTCCGTACGTTTTACTGGGATCCATTGTGAAGTTCGATTTATTGGTAAGTTTTGTAATTTTGTTGTAACTCAAATCAAAGTAACAGAAAATATGCGTTATGCCCAGAACCCAGACTACATCAGCTTCAATCAAATTATTGTGATGCAAATTAACTCTTTTTATTTTCGTTAATCCAGGATGAAAAACGCCCATCTCTATTGTATGAATTTTATTTCTCGACAAGTCAATGTAGCGTAATTTGTTCAAACCGTCAAATATCCCGGCCTTCAATATACGAATTTGGTTACTACTTAAATCTAAATGTACTAATTGTCTCAAACAAGACAACTTCGGCAATTCCGTTATAGAATTGTTATAAAGATCCAGATACTGTATCCTTGGAAATTCACAGATATTTTCCGGAATTGAAGGCAAACAGCCGTGTAGATGTGAAACCAGATAGTTTGCATCACTGGGCAGAGACGAAACAAAATAACTGGTAGAATTTATTTCACAAGATTCGCTGATGTAAAGTTGGTTTAAAATATGGTAGTTGTATTGACAGCAGTCGTCACAATATTGCCATGAGTTCGCTTTGGGTGGGCATTTCTCCTGTGGACAAACCACAAATTCTTGAGACTGTCCCATCACAAGAATAAACAATACATTGATGTCTTGACATAACAATAGAACAAGAAGAACTCTTGTAACAAATACTGTATATCGATTCATCATGTAGTAGAACTCGTAATGTTATCTGAATCTTTAACTTAAAGCCTCTATACGTAATTTGAGCGCGTTAGCATCCCTTGTTAATAAGAATGTCAGTTCAAATATGCTTCAATTCCGTTTAGTATTTACAAAGATATGACGATTTGAAATTTCCATCGATCTATGTAAAACGCCGGTCGCCATCAAACATATCTGATTTTTCTAGATGCTGTAGATTGCTGCTGTAAATCTAGAAATCTTGATCCGCCATTCTTACTATGGAGATCTTTTAGTAAAGTGTCTTTCTGTTACAACAGGGTTTTTTTGTAAAAGATATCTAGACTTCGTTTGTCACTCATGATTTTTTGTAGAAGATGTCGCGACCTCGTTGCATGATTTTTTTTAAGGATGTTTAGTAAAAGATATTTTCATATGTTGTCACGGTGTGAACAAATTCCCAACACTATTGGCTGTTAATTTTGTAAATTATTTTAAAACACTAGGTAATAAAGCTAGACTGAAATTTTACAGTTTGCTTTTACAGACAGTATCAGATTTTGTTTTATATCAACAAGTTGTAAAAGCGAGATTTATTCCGGGTAGATGACGGTGAATAAATTCCAAACAGCATGGTTTCACAGCGAGGTTTATTCTGTGTAGCTGACGGTGAATAAATTCCAAACAGCATGGTGTCACAGCGAGATTTATTCTGGGTAAATTTGTGGTGAATAAATTCCTAACACTGCTAACTGTATAAATCATATTACAGCACTAAGTACAAATGCTTAATCTGGTATACTGAAATTTTTCACTCAGTTTTACGACGGCATCAGGTTTATACCTGATCTTATAGGACTTGGTGAGTAAATTTCCAACACTATCTGCTGTTATTGTTAAAGTCTTTTAGAGCACTTAACTAGGTACAATAGCTAAATCCAGTGGAGTGAAATTTTACACTGTGTTATAGATTACTTATTCCCGTCTTCATTATCCTAGCGGATGCAAAACAGTAGTACGTTAAACCCCATTTCATTTCAGATTACTTATAACATACAGACTGGATGCTTTTAGGAACACTACCTGCTCGGATAAACAGCATCACCAAATCAAAAACTGTTATACATACTGGTTAATAGTAAATCACCCAATCAAAAACAGTTTTACATGAATTGTTTATGGCTAACCATCCATGCTTATTAGGAAGTTACTAAAACTGGTTATATATATTCTCATATTTTTTCCAAATTTCTATTTTTATACATCAAATACTTTTTATACGTATTGTTACTACATCCTCCCCTAGGACGATCCGTGTTGAAATTTAAAACTGATCTAAATGATAGGCAATATCATGTAACAATTTAAAATAGTTAATAAGCCATACCATCAGCGATAAATTCACGCATGACTTGCTACTACATTATTACTAAAGATGTGAACATTACTTCCCTATCACAAATATAAAAGATGCATTTTATTCATGTCAAAACTACATCTGTCTATTGCGGGTTTTTCCATCAGCGATAAATTCACGCTTGACTTACTACTACAATATTACTAAAGATGTGAACATTACTTACCTATCACAAATATTAAAAATGTATTTTATTTATATAAAAACTAAATCTGTCTATTGCGGATCTTTTTGTTGGCTTCAAAATGTTATATACTTTATTAATTAGATATTTATTCACATGATACGCCCATAATCAACTCTCTAGAAATGAAATGAAATGGGGTTTAACATCCTACTGTTCTGCTCAAAACTGGGCTAATGAAGACGGGTATACGTCATACAGTGAGCTGTGAGGCAAATTTTGCTCGGACAGCGGCACTACGGCCTACTCTTGTATCGAATTCCATTTGTTAAGGGATCTGTTACGTGCCCGCCAATGTGTACACGGGACCTCGGTATTTCATACCATCCGAATGACTAGACAGCTGTCCTTGTCAGTCCCTCCGTCTGGCATCACTGACAAGGGGGAAGCGACCCTCTAGAGCGCCACTGCCAAAATTTCTAAAATTCAATGTTCAATAGGTGTTTATATTTCTGCAAACTGAACAAACAATACCAATTTCAAAATGTCCAATAATTATGAATTCAAGAATGGTAACAAGCCATGGGCAACTTGTACAATGAAGTCAACAGAGATAATTTCAAACTATAGGATGCCCCCCCCCCCCCACACACACACCTCTTTTTACGCTACTGTAACAAAATGACCACGCATGGGTCGTGTTTTTATGGTTTATTTAATCTATGATAGAAATCCTGTAGTATAGAAATACAAAAAAAAATAATTAAAAATGAAGAAATCTATACGAGTAAGCATATACTACACTGAAAAAACTCTTGTCTTGAAACAAACACAAACTTGTGTTGTTTTCAACACTAGTTAGGCGTCTCTATTTAACAACACACTTGTGTTAAATGTTGAAAACTTGTGTGAAAATCTACACATCACTTGTGTAAAATCTACACACCACTTGTGTGAAAATCTACTCATCACTTGTGTTGAAATTTCTGAAACTTGTGTTGAAGTTGAAATTTCTAAAACTTGTGTTGAAGTTGAAATTTCTGAAACTTGTGTTGAAATTTCTGAAACTTGTGTGGTTTCATACAAACTTGTATATAACCATCAACAAACTATTTATATCCAGTATCCTTTCCCATGCAGCCCCCCCCCTCCTTTTGCTCTGTTTAACCTCTAAAATGTGATAAATGACGTAACAATAAATTTGTTTGTTAAATTTATTCATAAAATGATAGGAAAAAGTAAATTAATACTGTCAAATCAAAAATAAATAGACATTTGGAATGCTAACAGAGAAAATAATTCCAATACTAATAAAATTGTTTTATATGACAAAATCCTTCTCCACCCTCCGCAATCACAAAATAGCTATTTCAATTTTTCATTACACTAAAACAAGAACTGAAAATATAAAGATATATACACAGTATCCCTACCCTACCCCATACCCCCCCCCCCTCCAAATATATAATTCAAATATATCGAAATACAATAACAAAAGAAACATGCATTATTGAAGGAGTTATAAAATGATGTAGAACCTTTTCCTCATTAAAAAAAAACAAATGGAATATTTTGTACATAAAAGGAGCGCCAATTGAATAATAAAAACATCAAGATTACATGTTATGGAAAAATAAATAAAATAGCAATAGAGAAAATGGCAAATATTAAATAATATATACAAAATATTTATATACAAGTCATATGCAAGGGGTTGGCCGTGAAATTTCATCTGGATTTTCTGGCATAGTTCCCCCATGTCAGTGGTGTAGAACATGGCAAGGGACAATATATAGTCGTTCGGATAGGAGAATAAACCTAGGTCTCATATACAAACAGGCGTGCATTTTAAAGAGAGGGATAGAAATGAGGTTTAGCGTCCACTCGACACAAACTGGGTCAATTAGGGACTAACATAAGGCTTAATTTTATTTCAATAATTCACTTGAGCGTAGGGGTCTTTAGCAGTGGGAGGAAATCAAAGGACCTGGCGCCCCTACTCCTTGTCATGTACAAGTTAAAGAACCCTTGATAATTGATATATTTATTATTATCTTAACAACGATAGGAATGATAATCGAAGCTACACTATAAGCATATCGCCGATAATTTGACTTAGAGTGAAGTAATTTGACTGAAATTTTGAACATGAAATTCCTATTTCATTATCTATTTGTTAACTATTATAACGAGAACTATCAACTCTTTATATCTTACCTACTTCCCCTTTAATTAAATGTTAAATAATTAATCCGAATAAGCCGTGAAAAATTAGACAGTGTCGGAAAACTGCAATTGACGCCTAGCGACTTTAACAGAAGGCGTGATTTCATATGACGTAACCCTGTGCTTGTGCGGCAACATTATGAATCTTCGAGGAGATTTTCTCAAAAAGGTTGACGTCATCAGCTTTAATAAACTGTTTTAATTTGAACATAGCACGTATATGTCCATTGTTAATAAGTGTCAGACAAAATTCTTCAAGTTTAATCAGAACTAACTGACCATTCCCTTGTTTGACTTTATGACAATAGGATTCATTTAATTCGAAAAGTCTTAACGGATCTTCAAAAAGAGATTTTGAGATGACGGCCACAACGGATCGACTGTTATGTATATTGGTAATATTTGCATCGGCAGTTACCTCCCCTATAATACCATCACGGAACGAGATGTATGATTTTATACCCAATCGATCAAAATAAGGAATAAGATTTTCTATAACCCAAAGTCTGTCTCCATCTGAGGCCTCGTTTAAAAGCACAAACACATCAAGCTCTCGGTCATTTCTGTCGTCTAACTTCCGTTTTCTATTTGTTGGTAGATGGGTATGAAGTATAACCGTTATCTCGAACCGGAAGTAGATAACGACCACAATTACAACAATGATCAGAAAGCCAGATATGCCCAACACGATACTGATAGGCTTAGTCACCGAGTTTACAACTCGACAGTTGAATTCGTCTGGTTGTAAATTATCAATGGTTATTCTCTGATCGCCATTAACTGTAGAACAAGTTATATTGGATCTGTTTTTAATGTCAGGTTTGGATTCAAACCAACTTTTTAACCACAAACTATCACAAGAACAAATTAACATGTTATTAGAAAGATCAATCTCCGCCGATCGTAAGTTCTGGATGGTTTCTGGAAGATGTTTCAGTCTGTTGTAGGCAAGATTTAAATATTTCAATTGATCGACAAGATTTGCGAATACCTCTGGTACTATTTTTGTTAATTTGTTATTCGACATATCCAGGTGAATAATTCTGTCCATATAAGGACGTCTTGGTAAGACCTCTATGGAATTGTTTTGAAAGTTCAGAAATAAATTCTCGTGAAATGGTAACCGTTTTGGCATTTCTGAAAGTCCAGCATTCTGACAATTAATGACCATTCTGTCAGCGTCTGGTTGTTCCTGGCATAAACACGCGGAAGGACAAGAATCCGTGACGTTGCACACAAAATCAGATAATTTTTTATGTATAAAAGCGAGCTTTCCCTTTAAATTTGGGGGAGTGTTGCACGTGATATCAAACAAAACATCTGTTAAAGCGTCTCTCAATTTGCCCACAACTGAATACAGAGCCGCCATTGGATACAAATGACAATCACAGTGCCATGGATTATTGTCCATGTTAAATCTCCACGTCAGCAAAGTGCTTACCAATGACTGAAATGGAGGCCGAATGGCTGTTAACATCTTTGTGTCTAAAATTCTCATTTTGTTGTTCTGTAAAGATATTGTACCCGGTCCGTACGTTTTACTGGGATCCATTGTGAAGTTAGATTTATTGGTAATTTTTGTAATTTTGTTGTAACTCAAATCAAAGTAACAGAAAATATGCGTTATGCCCAGAACCCAGACTACATCAGCTTCAATCAAATTATTGTCATACAGATCGACTCTTATTATTTTCGTTAATCCAGGATGAAAAACGCCCATCTCTATTGTATGAATTTTATTTCTCGACAAGTCAATGTAGCGTAATTTGTTCAAACCGTCAAATATCCCGGCCTTCAAAACATGAATTTGGTTTCTACCTAAATCTAAATGTACTAATTGTCTCAAGCAAGACAACTTCGGCAATTCCGTTATAGTATTGTTGTCAAGATCCAAATACTGTATCCTTGGAAATCCACAGATATTATCAGGAATGGAAGGCAAACAGTCGTGTCGGTGTGAAACCAGAAAGTTTGCATCATTGGACAGAGACGAAACAAAATAACTGGTAGAATTTATTTCACAAGATTGGCTGATGTTAAGATTGTTTAAAATACTGCGGTTGTATTTACAGCAGCCGGCACAATATTGCCATAGGTTCGCTGCTTCTTCATACCTGGATTTGGGTTGGCATTTCTCCTTTTGGCAAACAACAAATTCTTGAGACTGTCCCATCACAGGAATAAACAATACATTGATGTCTTGACATAACAATAGAACAAGAATAACTCTTGTAACAAATAATGTATATCGATCCATCCTGTAGTAGAACTTGTAATGTTATCTTAAATCTTTGACTTAAAGCTTCTATGCGTGATTTTAGCGCTCTACCATCCCTTGTTAATAGGAATATCAGATGGTACAATTCCGTTCATTATTTGGATTCGCATTATGATCTGCCATTTGGTATTTTGACGATGATTAGTAAAGATAATTTCACAATTGTCATGGTGTTATTTATTCCAGGAATGGGATGGTAAATAAATTCTCACCACTGTTAATTGTATAAATTATTTTATATCAACAAGGTGTCACTATTGACTGTTAATTTTATAAATCACTTTACAGCACTAGGTAAAAAATGCTTAATCTGGTGGACTGAAATATTGTTTATTGTGACAGCGTCAGATTTATTCCGGATCATCTGGATATGGGGAATAAATTTCCAACTCTAGGTAAAAAAAAGCTAAATCCAGTTGAGTGAAATTTTACACTCCATTATAGATTACTTATTCCCGTCTTCATTAGCCTAATCGATGCAGAACATCAGGACGTTAAATCACATTTCATTTCAGATTACTTTTTGCAACAGCAACAGATGTGATAATCGTTACATACACTGCGTTTCAATGTGTTTAAACACAGGCATTATAACATACAGACTGACTGCTTTTAGGAAGAATACCAGATCTGATAAATGGCTAATTGCAAATCACCCAATCAAAATCCGTATTAATTAGGAAGTTACTAAAATAAATAGTCATATATCTGCTCACTTTATAGGCGTATTGTTAGTACTTCCTCTTATAGGGCGACCCGTGTTAAAATTTAAAACAAATATTAAATGATAACTTAGGCAATACCATGTAATATTTTAAAATCTATGCTATTATTTGTGACTGTCGTAGGACTGTCCCGAGGCAGAAATTTGTTGTATAGGGGTAGATTGGGCAGGGTAGTAAAATTAGCTAGGTGGTGTTGGCCTACCGCTTCCGGTTTCGGAGTTATACAACTTTCAACCCATACAGCGCCGGGTTAGACATAAAATAATACATTACATATTAGATGTAGAATAATATATTACTTATTAGATATATAATAATAAATCACATATTAGATATAAAATATAGATATAGATATAGAATTAGATATCTAATATTACACGTACATATTAGATATAGAATAATATATTACACGTACATATTAGATATAGAATACTATATTTCATATTAGATATAGAATAATATATTACATGTTAGATATAGAATATTATATTATAAACATATTAGATATAAAATAATATATTACATATTAGATATAGAATAATATATTACATATTAGATATAAAATAATATATTACATCTTAGATATATAATAATAAATTACATATTAGATATAAATAATATATTACATATTAGATATAGAATAATATATTACATATTAGATATAAAATAGTGTATTATATATTAGATATAGAATAATATGTTACATGTTAGATATAGAATAATATGTTACATGTTAGATATAGAATAATATATAACATATTGGATATAGAATAATATATTACACGTACATATTAGATATAAAATAATATATAATATGTTAGATATAGAATAATATATTACATATTAGATATAAAATAATATATTACATCTTAGATATATAATAATAAATTACATATTAGATATAAATAATATATTACATATTAGATATAGAATAATATATTACATATTAGATATAAAATAATGTATTATATATGAGATATAGAATAATATGTTACATGTTAGATATAGAATAATATGTTACATGTTAGATATAGAATAATATATGACATATTAGATATAGAATAATATATAATATGTTAGATATAGAATAATATATTACATATTAGATATAAAACAATATATTACATATTAGATATAAAATAATATATGACATATTAGATATAGAATAATATATTAAAGTAGCTAAGTCTCTAACTCAATATCATCCAAAGTCTTACACGTTGAAAATACGAATTATTTGTCAATTCAAATCAACATTGATGTTGTGATCTTACCAAGAAAAGACAGGCTTCTGATATCCAATATTTAAGACAGAATAAACATTTTACCATTGGTACACGAATCGTGTACCATAGTGCGTTTTAGCGTCATTTGCAACAAGTGACCAGAAAGAACGAGGCTAGACATATTCAACTGAAGAACCTGCTCAATAGACTGGAATAACCAGACGCTAGAAATTGCTATAGGGTTGAGACACAGGCCGTATTTCGCTGGACATAACTGATTTGAAATTAAGAGTCAAAACGGAAACAATTGAATGTTAATCAGTTATATACAATCAGATTACATTATTATATGCGTTGCGACCCATTTGGGTCAATTTCTAGGTCCCAAATATTAGCGATTTAGCTCCTTTAAATATTAGATTTATTTCTCATTTTTTAAGTGTATTCCGGCATGTATTTCGGAGGTTAAAACTGCTTGCCAATAAAATGCCCCAACAGCCATTTACTAAATAACCAAGTATGAACAATCCCAACCACCAGACAAAATTCGAAGTCTTAAAAAAACGGTATAGGCAAAATGGTGTTCACCGTGTACAAAATACACGACAAACAGTGGTAACAGATGTCCGGAAGAGTAAGCTTACCCTGCCTGGCGCCACACCCGCCATGTAGATTTTATTGTAAATTACTCAATCCTGCTCTCGTTGAAGATTCAATATTACATAAGAAGATTCCGTTATTATTATCATATGAAATAACCTACTAAACCTTTATTGTACAGCAGACGAGAATGACACAAAACCAAGAAACCTTCTGAACTAAGTTGAAATAAACTCCCAGTGAACTAAGTGAATTCGGATCTAAGTCTGGAGGATTATCTACCCTCGATATTTTGATTTTATGTCCTGAATTAAATGTTAAATAATTATTAAATAAATATTAAGATATTTAATTGTCCGGTGAATTGACAACCAGCGACTTTAATAGCATTAACTGACCGTGTACATTTTTATACCACCAGCGGTTGTCTTTTCTCAGCTCTTTTAGAATAGTCGACAAGTGGATTCTTAGATCTTTATTTAACTTCAGTTAAAAGGAGCAATCCGAGATCTAGTTCATTCAATAAAACAAGTTGATTATGGTGAAAACCCCTAGTAAACCGCGATGAAATACAAGCTTTCAATTTCATTGCAATTTCATATTTTTAAGTTGTATTTTTAAAATGTATTAAAATAAAGCCTTAAAATAGATGGTGTCTATATACAGTCCTACCTTGTTAAATAATAATCCTATTAATCCTATAATTCACTATTGCCAGTTGAGAAATTGGCAAAAATATCATTTTCAACTTCAAATTCAAACGTTTGAAGATAGCTATTCCAAGAGGGGAATAGAAAAACAAGGGAGGTAATTGTGTTATTATTTCCGGGGTCAAGGATTTATAAGTGGGAGAATGATACCTATGATCGTATAATAGTGAGTTGACAACCTATTGAGCAAAAGACATGGAAATAATTATGTTTTGACTTTCTTAGAAAATATGAAATTCTCGCTTTAAATAATCAATTCGATTACATGTTAAAAAATCAATTCGATTAAGCTGTGAAAAAATTGAAATTATGCAATCGGAAAAATGCAATTGAATGGAGTAATCCGAGATCTAGTTTATTTAATAAAACAGGTGGATAAACTACTCTTGTAAACCACTATCTTAGTATCGTGCAAAACATTTACTAACATGGTAAGACCATAATCTAATCTTCAGGTCATCGGATGGCCCCGATTTAAATCGATTAGAACGGTTCAGCCAATTAATGATTTAATTCAAAAATGGATAATAGAGACTTTGTTTATTATCTTAACAACGTGGGAATGGTAATAGAGGCTAAACTATAGGTATACATGTATAACGCCGATAACTATTCTCTGAATGAATTAATTTGACTGAAATTTTCAGCATAATATTCCCTTTTTATTATTTTGTTTTTATACGCCCACATTTTCATGTGTACGTATATTGTCGTCGTCCCTGTCCGTCCGTCCGTCCGTCCACAATTGTTTGTGAACAGTCTACAGGTCAAAATTTTTATCCGATGTCAACGAAACTTGAAATATAGGTTTATCACCCTAAGATCTCGGTTCCTTTCGAAATTGGCATGTATCGGACTGTAACTTCATGGATTATGGCCCCTGATTGTACGAAAAATCACGTTTTTAGCTTGTGAACACTGTAGAGGTCACGATTTTTATCCGATTAGGTTTAAACTTGAAATGTATGCTTATAACCAAAAGATCTCGGTTTCTATCGATATTCGCGCATATCGGGACGTAACTTCCTTAATTATGGCCCCTGATTGTACGAAAAATCGCGTTTTTAGCTTGTGAACCGTATAGAGTGCATAATATTTATCCGATTAAAAAAACGTATTATTATATCACCGTTACACCCTAAGGACGACTGAGTTCGAATTTCGTAAAAATCGGCCCAAAACTGACAGACAAAACGCCGCCCCTCGTTCTCAAATAGCGTAAAGATATGGTATATCAAGGTTGTGGACCCTATAGAGGTCACAATTTTTATCCGATTTTGTTGAAACCTGAAATGTAAGTTAAAGGACCTAAGTCCGTAACTCAAAATCATCCAAAATCTTCGACATCGAAAACACGAATTATTGGTCAATTTAAATCAACATTGATGATGAAAAGATGAGCTTCTGATATCCGATATTTAAGATAAAATAATTTTTTTCACATTGGTACACGAATTGTGTACCATAATGCGCTTCAGCCCCAGTTGTATTGAGAGACTCGAGGGACGAGGCTAGACACATTGCACCAAATCAAATGGAGTTATGTAGACTAGAATAACTAGACGCTAGAAATTTGCACTCGATTGAGATTGCTGACTTATTTCGCCGAACATAACTGATTTGAAATTGGAGTAAAAACGGAAACCATTAAATGTAAATCGGTTTATATACATTCATATTACAGTATTATATGGGTTGCAACCC